TTATTTACTACAACTTTTTTTTAATGCGCCCGGAACTCCCATTACAAAATCTGCAGAAATGGATGTAAAAAACAAAATAAAAAATTTGCTGCAAGGTATGTACCAGAACCAATTTAAAATAGAAGAAGAAGAGTCACCGGATTTTGAAAATTATTTCAATATTCCAGAAGCGGAATTAATCAAGAAGAAAAATGGAATGAACAAGAAAAAAAATAAAAAAGAAGAAAAATCGTATAATGTTAAATAAATGGCATATATAAATGATAATATACTAATCGAATATAAAAGAAGAGCCGTAGAATTTTGAAAACCTAACGGTAAGGCTAGGCCAAAGTCGCTTAAAAACGTAAAATCATGTTTCGAAAAGTAACATCACTACGCCAGTTACGAATATGGAAGGAACATATAAGGAGAGGTGGAAATAGACTGGAGAAGCTGAAATTAATTTCAACGTTCACATTAAATAAATTTCAAAAAAGTTTAGAAAGAGGAATCGCTATTCATGATACTGATATTGCTCGACGGGCCAATATCATAATCATGAATAGCGACTCCTATTTCTAAACTTTGTCAATGATTGTAGTTTTAAAATAGAATCTCTTGAATGAATTTTCAAAATCCAGGGACTCTTCTTCTTCAAATTGGTTCTTGTACATACATTCCTTGCAGCATATTTTCTATTTTGTCTTTTACTTCTATTTCTGATTTTGTAATGGGAGTTTCGGGCACATTTAAAAAAGTTGTAATAAATAACACAATTATCACATTTCTCGAATTGAACATTTTGCCTCTAAAAATTATAAATAATAAATTGTAGTCATATAAACATTATATAAAAATAAAAATAGTAAATATATTTATAAAATAGTAACGCTTTATTGTATGCATATTCTATTAACATTACATTATTTATTATAATATATTAATGACAAATGCTTTAATTTACTCTTAAAGTAATAAATATATATTATATAATCTGTTCCGACAAAACAGCGTTATTCGCCTGAATTTATGCTCACGCGTTTTCAACGATCATGCGTTATAATACTCGTATGTCATATTCCTTATACTGTTCTCGTCTTTATTGTTGTTATTCTCGCTCAGATTATTTGCGTTTCGGACTTTCTCTTTTCTCCGTCCGTTGCTTGGAGCATTTGTATCATCATGTTTGCACTTTCCGACCAATCAGCTAATGCCGCCTCGAACCTCGACGACCCTAGCCGTCGGTTCTCGGTATAAATAAGGGCCTTCCGCGAAGCGCGTCATCGTCGAAATTCAGTGTTCGAGCAGCGCAGTCGTCTTTCGAATTAATAAAAGTGATCGTCGCTCTATCTCGAAGTTCTCTCGATCTAGCCTCTTTTCTCGACATATCTCCTAACATAATCATTATACTGTAACATACGTTTTAGTCGGTGAATAGGAGCGAGCAATAATCTCTCGAAGGTTTATAATTGGATACCTTTTATTATTCACAGTGTTCTCGACACGTAACGTACGAATGCCTGAATGCGTGTATAACAAAGAATTTTTCTCGAGGCCCTCTATTGACTTAAAGCTATTACGGTAGGCGAAAGAGGGCGCTAGTCTCCGGGTACTAAATATTCCTAACATCCTCTCACCAGAGAGAAAAAGAGGAAAACTTAATTTCTTAAAAACTTGAGAACTTGATAACTGAATACAAAAATAAAGGATAAATGATATAACTTATTTCCAAAAACAAAATTCTTATAAGGAAAGAAAATCTAATAGCCGTATCTGTCCGGCGCTTTGACGCAACGTCCGCTTCTGGTACGAACAACGCTCGAAACAGTTTGTGGTGACAAATCCTGGTTGTCTTCTTTGGTCTGGTCCGTTGCATCTGTGCCCGGTTTAGTCATTTGTTCGGACATCTCCAAAGGATATAAGCGCTGAATGGGTCGCTCTCCGGTAGCAGTTTTTACCTTAGCCACTCTTATTATTTTGTCTTTACCTGGAAAAACCTTAATTACGCGAGCCAATGGCCAATCTAAACGTTTACGATTATCTTGTCCCACTAGAACGATATCTCTAACTTTAATTGGAATTTTTCGACTTTTGGTCATTCGTCTTGATAGTTGACCTAAGTATTCTGAACGGAAACGGTTACGGTTTACGTAACTCTTTACGCAAATTCTGATTGTACTTCATCCGTCTGTTGAGGTTGATATCTATCTTGTCTAAATCCGATACGTCATTTCGCGGGATCTCTTGGAGGAACATCAGCGGTGTCAACGGTTTTAACTGTGTTGGATCTTCTGCTAAGTATGTCAAAGGGCGTGAGTTGATCATAGCTTCGATGTCGCATAAAATAGTATTCATTTCTTCGTAGGATAGACAAGCCTTTTTCAGTGTTCGTTTCAGTAGGTTTTTCACCATTCTTACTAGACGCTCCCACCATCCTCCCCACTAAGCTGCAGAAAGAGGGTTGGGACGCCACTCTATTTTTTGACTGGAGCTGAACTGTTTGACTTTTTCCCAATCAATCTTTCGGAGTAAATTACCGGCTCCCACAAAATTAGTCCCATTATCTGTGAAAATTATAGAAGGTCTTCCTCGTCGTGCGATGAACCTCCACAGAACTTGTAAAAAAGCTTTTGTAGAAAGGGACGTGGTGAGTTCTAAATGGATCGCTCGGTAAACAGCACAAGTAAATAAACAAATCCACGCTTTTTGTGTCTTCTTCAAAAATAAAGGTCCTATGTAGTCGATCCCTAGAACTTCAAAAACGTTAGCTTTCTTGACTCGTTCACGTGGTAGACATCCAGGAATAGCATCTGCTTTTTTGGCTTTATAACGTCTGCACGTCCAAAAACTATTTACTATTGACTTTACAGCCATTCTGCATTTAAGTATTCAGAATGTCTCTCGCAGATTGTTCATTACAGCTTAAGTTCCTGAATGATTGAGTTGTTGATGCCTATACTCAATCAACTTCTTGATTAGAGGATGTTTTGGATCCAATATAATAGGGTGTCGGAAATTATATTCATCGTCGCGGTTAACTATAGGTGATTTTAGACATAACAATCCATCGTCGTTTCTGTACACGTCTAAAGTATCAAATCGTAGTTCTTTTACTTTACTAAAAGACTCTTCTTGCGTTAACCTGAAAATCGCTAATTCTGCATCGATGAATTCCTTTGTAGATAATTCTCCCGAGAACCTTGCAGTTCGCTGAACTCGACAATTAGTAATAAATCGACGGATCCAAGCCATAGTTCTTATTATCCTTAGGTATTTGGATTGGTTTTTCATATACGATCCTATTTCTTCTTGTGGAATAGACATACATATATTAACTGTTAACCTGTCATTTGACGAATAATCTTTTTTATCTCGGAACGATTTCTTAACTTCACTTTCAATTTCTGCTTCGTTTTCGACGTAGTCAGATGAAGGCCATAGATCCATAGAAAGTTTCATGCTGGGCCTTCCCACCATCGTGACTCTATTAGTTGTTGAGCACCACATCCTCTTGAAGAAAGGTCCGCGGGATTCATGGATCCAGGTACGTGACGCCATTGTTCTGGATTAGATAACGCGCATATCTCTTTTACTCTATTTCCTACAAAGATGTTCCACGGTCTATTCTTTTTATCCATGCCAAAACTGTCGCAGAATCGGACCAAAAGAAAACTTGCGCTTTTTCGAAATCTTCTGCATCTTTTATAGAATCCCATAGTCGAATTCCTATAGTGGCAGCAAGCAACTCAAGACGAGGGATCGTTATCTTGACTATCGGTGCCACTCGCGACTTTGCTTGAATGAGTTGTACATATATGTTCTCTCGTGTTTCTGTTTTCGCGAATATAGTAGCTGCATATGCTTCTTGACTGGCATCGACAAATATGTGGAACATTATCTTATCTTCGTTAGGTCCGAACGCCCACCGTGGAATGCATAATTTTTTTAACCAAGGGAGCTGCTGTTGCCAGTTGTTAAACTCAGATTTTATTTCTTCTGGCACTTCGTCATCCCAGCTGATTTTGCATGACCAGAGTTTCTGCAGCAATATCTTAGGCTTTAGCGATATTGGAGATGACACGCCAATGGGATCAAACACCTTTTGTGCTGCGGATAATATATGTCTTTTTGTTATTTTCGATTTTTCATGCAACTCTAGAAGTGTAGGTGTTAACTTTAACGTATCCTGCTCTTTATCCCAAAGTAAACCGAGTATTGGAGTAAACCTAGATGTCTCTACTTGATTGGTGTACTCCCAACCTCGCAAATCAAATTTGCCTTCCGCCATGACTCGCTTCGCCACAGCTTCAAATGCTACGGCTTCGCTTCTTGAATTGACACTGGTTACGCAGTTGTCCACATAAAAGGATCTTCTCAATTGCCGAATGATATCTTTTTCTTCTTCTGTTTCGACTTGTTGGGCTACTTTCTCTAGATAGTATTCAATAGTCCCTCCTAGTAAAAAGGGGCTGCTGGAGACTCCAAAAACAACTCGCCGATGCCTATACATATATCTCGATTTCTTCTGTACGATCCTTTTTCCACCAAA